AATCTAAATACTTTAAACACAATTTTATGGCTTCAACTAAATATATTTTTAACAAAATTGTATGTCATCAACTACAGATAAAATGTATTGTTAGTTATTTTCCTATAAAATGTATGGTTGGTTATTTTCCTATAAAATGTATTGTTGGTTATTTTCCTATAAAGTATATTGTTAGTTATTTTCCTATAAAATGTATGGTTGGTTATTTTCCTATAAAATGTATTGTTGGTTATTTTCCTATAAAATGTATGGTTGGTTATTTTCCTATAAAATGTATTGTTTGTAATTCTACTATAAAATATATTGTTGGTCATTTTGCTATAAAATGTTTTGTTAGTAACTTTAGTATAAAATGTATTGCTGATCATGTTGCTTTAAAATTGTATTGTTGGCAATTTTACCATAAATATGTATTGCTGGTATTTTTACTATAATAATAATTTAATTATATTTTCTTAGTGTTTTGTTTTTGTTTGGGAGTTTACCATTTGCCCATAGCTTGGACCCTAACAGGTGTTATCAAACCCTGGTCAGGGTGAACCTGAGAACAACAGCAATTAATAGGTTTGCATTTTTTTATTTGGTTGGTTGGTTTTGTTTAGGAGCATATCAACCTATATGGGTTATTTAATGCTGAAACCTAAATATTTTGAACACAATTTTTTGACTCCAAATAGATATATTTTTAACGCAATTTTTTGCCTACAACTAAAAATATTTTGTACATAATTTTATACTTTCAGTGTAAAAGTATGTTTTATAAATATGCAGTTTGTAGATGATCTATATTAGGTGTCATGTTTTGGCATAAACCTACTTCCTTAAGGTAGAACATTATGTTGGCAGTTTCAGTATTTTCAAATAGTTTTCTCATGTTTGTTTCTTTGTAGTATTTATGTCTTACAGGTGCATTCATTTAAAATATGTTTCACCATAAGTGCAACTTGGCTTGTTGTACATGTTGGTTGATTTGCATTCTTCAGCAAGTATGAATGGGTGAGGTATGTGTGGTCTATATGCAGCCAAGTCAACATTACCTCAGCCTTTCTTCCTTTTCTATATGCATCCCTCCGTTCTCCAAGGACTCACATATCCAGGTCATATATTAACTGTCAAATGTTGGTTGAGATCCAAATATTTATAAGAATCCAGAAAAGTATAAATTGAGAATATAGTTTAAGTAACATGTGTTGAAACCATAGAAAAGCAAAACTGAAAAAAAAAATTAAAATGCTTTCATATTATGAAAGATGGAAATCAAAAATACAAAATATATTGATAACAGCTTTTAATAAAAAAAAAAAAAGAAATTGTTTTCTCAGACTTGAAGGAAAGAGAGAGAAAAATAAACAAACAAATAAATGGTAAATAAATCGAATTGATCCAGTTTTAGAATGAAGCAAAAATAATAGAAATGTACTCAAGGCATTCAGGATGAAGCAGATGCAACAGAATATAAAGAATATTTGATTTTCCAAGACAAGATCTGAACAGACAGAAGAGAAAGTAACTGGAAATCTTTAACAATGATTGCAATAAAAATTGGTAAAAGCATCTTCATATGAAAAAACAAAAAAAAACAAAAACAAAATTAGTTTAATTTAAAGAAATATTTTTTTCTGGTTCAGAGAAGATACAGAAATGCTAGACAATTTTTCTCTCCAGAATCTATCTTCCATATCTATAAGTCTACCATTCACCCATGCTTAACATATTGCTGCCACATATGGTTAGGTGCTCCTGCTATATATGTAGACATTCTTGATAAAATCCAAAAAAGAATCAGTAATATTATTGGTCCTGACCTGGCATCTTGGCTTCTGTCACTTTCCCACCGCCTTAGTTGCTTTCCTGTGCCTTTTCTACAAACACTTTCATAATAATTATTTGTATGAGCTCTTCACTATAGCACCTAGACTTTTCCAATTTCAGCACAGTACTCGATTGGCAACAAGGTCTCGTCAATTTACAGGTGATTTGGCTAGATGTAACCATATTGTTATAGACAAGCGTATGGTTGCAAGAAGGAAATACGACAACAGCAGGAATAGATTTACGTGATTTATTTCAATAGGAACATGTGGGTTTGAAACAGCCACCTTGTGGTATAGTTCATAATCTGGCTCCCAGTCTGGGTTGATCTCTCATAGTAGTTCACACTGGTTGGCATGGCGCTCCTCCTGCTGACTGCTGCTGACTGACCATGACAGGTCTCTTCCCTGGCCTCCTGTTGACTGCTCTTGTACTTCCCCGTGTGACCCCTTTTATGGTGTTTTTTATGGCTTAACAGGCTCGTAAAACGACGCGAGTATAATTAGGAGGGAAGCATTTTTATTGGTCGAAAAATAGAAACACTTTAAAATATTATTTTATTTTTCGACTGGAACTCATGTGTCGGGCTTATGCGTAAATGACGATAATGGTCATTTTGTGATGGGGCCTTGTCCTGTTCACATTCGGCTCTCGCTCTTGAGTATGTTAGTTTATTTGCCTGTAAATCTGCCGAGATATGTCTTATTTTATTTTATAGCAATATGTTCTAAGCTAACAGTTTCTTTTCTCACACTTCTCGCATGTGGAACATTCTTCTAACTCCATGCTTTCCAGCCAAATTTGATTGTGGCTATTTTTAGGGTTGTTAACTTTATTATTGATTGCTTTGTTATTTTTTGTTGATTGTCGTTATTATGTTTACTCATGTTTATGTTTGCAATGATAGTTTGTTAAGTTGTTTATTATTTACTTAATTTATTTACTTATTTATTCATTTCGATTCATTTATTTTACTTATTTATTTTTATTTATTCAATTTTTTATTTTAGTTATTTTTTTTTTATTTTATGTTCGTTTTTAGTTTTTGATTTTTAAGTAACATAGTAAAAATTTGTTTTGTGTCTGCATTTTGAGATGACCTGATCATTTATTTAGCAGTTTGTGTTGGTCTGGGAAGATAATTATAGCTATTTTCTCCTCCAGACATAGTTTACAGTTTTTGGATTTATTGTTGTAGGCTAATGCTTTTCCTTATTTTCCATATTTTTGGTGGGATTTGTTTTTTGGTTTCAATTTCCCATATATGTTTGGAATGTAACAAAAATGTTGAGTTAATAAATAAGAAATATATTGCGTCATTAGAAAGTATATATATATGTATATATATAAATATAAAAGTGAATATTGAAGTCAACACTTAGAGGCGATAGTCTGTTTCATGCTAGACGCAGTCTTATATGAAATTTCCCATATCTGTTGCCTCTAAGTGTTGACTTAAATGTTCACTTTTATATTTACACACGCTCTATCTCTGATATTGAGCACTTTATCCCATAAATATAGCACACCTTAAGACAATATTTCTTCATATGTATATATATATATATATATATATATATATATATATATATATATATATATATATACTGCTCCCCATCAAGCAAAAGCACAATTAATACTAGTTATATGCAATGCAACTTAGAATATAAACACAGGAAAATATCCTAATAATGAACGCCTTGAAAATGAATAATGAATTGGCCAAATGCTATTATTATTCATCACATTAAATGATTGCTGCCCAAAAATACAATAAATTAAAAATTAAAAAAAAAGGTAAATTTTTATTTTTTTAACTTAATATAAAAATAACAAAAATGAGAAAATCACCAGTTAGTTGGTGATACCTCCTGATGAGTGAACGGAACGATTATTGAAAAGGTTTGTCTACAAAACTCTGGAATTGGGGGAGCTGAATATTTCATCAATCACCTAAATGATAAATTTTATATATATTTGTATTAACTCTCTCGCTCTCTCTCTCTCTCTCTATACATATATATATATATATATATATATATATATATATATGAAGAAGAAAAATATATACGGAAAAAACAAAACAAAAATCCTTATATATACGATTATGCTGTTTTAATGTTAATATGTCAACGTCTGACGTTTCGGTCTAATAAACCATCTTCAGGACATATTCATAAATATAACATTATCAATACAACATGACAAAGACGATGTACATTAGAACAAGACTTATCCAAACAAATAACTGAAAGTTTTATAATATCAGCGCTCCGTTTAAAACATGGTCACATTGTCGTCACGTGGGTGACGCTGTGAAAACGTATTCCTACAATTTTGAGTATTTTGAATGAAAAGAATTCTATTTTGAACTAAAATTTATATATAAACATATCGGATCTATATCCATATATTTGCTTACATATATATATATATATATATATATATATATATATATATATATATATACATATATATAGATATATATAGATAGATAGATAGATAGATAGATAGCAATTTTGTTGTTTGTGCAAGATTCATTAAAAAACAAAGTTCCATTTTCATTATTTTTTTATTGATCCTTTCAACACTTCTAATAATTTTTCTGGTTTCTTATATGAAATTTCCCTTATGTGCTGAGCACAAACCCTTTTCAAAGATGTATAATAATGGTGTTAGCAGAAAGTACTCAGAAGATATGAGAAATTTCATATTTCAATATCAACCATAAATCAGAAAAATTGCACACACACACACACATATATACATATATATATATATATATATATATATATATATATATATATAGATAGAGAGAGAGAGAGAAAAGAGAGAGAGAGAGAAAGAGAGAGAGAGAGAGATAGTTGATAAATGAGACAAAGTGGAAAAGCATTTTGTTTCATTTCTCCTCTTTTGTTTGGGCTTACGACCATGTCATGTTGGTTCAAATAGGATTTTGATTGATTGATTTTTGTTTATTATGGGTTATCAATTTTTGGAGGGCTATTTAAAGCCAAAACATATTCTGCATTAGAACAATCATTCTTTTTTTGCAAATGAATACTACATTTAAACATTTTCTTAAAGATAACACTGACAACAAGGGGTAACAGATGGAGTCCAACTAATAAAAAGGGTTTTTTTCTTGCATTTTTTTTCCTGTGATGATTCTATATGTAAAGGCTTATGGCTACATCACATGGAAACATTGGTTCCCATACGATCACTGAAGTTAAGTAACATTAAGGCTGGTCAGTACCTAGATGGGTGACCACTTGGGAATACCAGGTGCTGGAAGCTTGGATGTGCAGGCGGTGTAATGAATAATGACTTGGAAATTGTTAATCAGAGAACTGAGTTCCAATTCCAACAACAGCAATTAGATAGATAGGGAATGATAATAATTATTTAGTGATACAAATCTTACTAATTAACCCATAGCTGGAGGGAGAAGAGATGGAGTCATACCTTTTCCAAGGGTATATGTGCATAAGTGAAGATAATGAATACAACTTAAATTGGAACTCGGTTCTCCAATTATATTTAGTTGAAGCCATAAAATTGCATCCAAAATATTTAGATTTCAGCATTAAGTAACCCATATAGGTTGATATGTTGCTAAACAAATTCAACCAACCAAATAAAAATGCAAACTTTTAATTAGATAGATAGATAGATAGATAGATAGATAGATAGCAAAGAGACTGAGATAGATAGATAGATAGATAGATAGATAGATAGATAGATAGATAGATAGATAGCAAAGAGACTGAGATCGAATAGATAGATAGATAGATAGATAGATAGATAGATAGATAGATAGATAGATAGATAGCAAAGAGACTGAGATAGATAGATAGATAGATAGATAGATAGATAGATAGATAGATAGATAGATTGCTTATTTACCTTTGTCCATACTATTCCTTTGTCATATGCAGAAAGACCAATTTTCAACCTACCTAGTAATTGTTCTAAAAGAGGATGGAAAGTGCAACACTGAGATCCAAAGGCATATTGGGAAGGCCAAAGATACATTCCAAAAACTAAACAGAAAAATTTTGCTAGAAACAAACTGTTACATGATATTTTTCCTCCTGTAAAGCAGAAAATGCTGAACAATCTCATCAAAGATGAAGAAGAGACTTGAAGCAATAGAAATGTGGTTCTACAGAAAGATACTGAGGATACCATGGACCAAACATATGAATAACAACAAGGTTTTGGAGAAAATGGAAATAAAAAAGAAACTCATACTTAACATATGCAGTTGAAATTTCTGGGGCGCATAATGAAGAAGGAGCGCTTGGAAAATCTGATACTCACAGGACAGATTGAGGGAGAGAGGAACAGAGGAAAGTAGTGTGTAACATATTTGATGGGCTTGAGTAAATGGATGGTAGAACAGGGTTTGGAAGAAAAAGCAAAAAGACAAAACTTATTAAGAGCAACAATGGACAGGAAGATGTGGAGGGCCATGGTCACCTTCGTCCTGAAGGGAGATAGCACATAAAAGAAGTACAAAAGCACTCAGATGGACATAAATATTCAAACATGTATAATCTTAGAAATTTATATGCTCAGAAGAGAGTAATTAATTTATCCTTTAACAACTGGAAAAACAATGAACAATGATAATTTCTGATTGTTCAAGTAACATATTTATCAGAGTTTGTGAAGCAAGCTTCAACAAGCAAATCATGATTACCGTATTATTCCTTCTCACATTGTTCAAAGAAGTAAAAACAACAAATCACACTTTCTTCCTGTTTTTTTTTCTTGTGTATCTTAGGTTTAGAATTGGTATCCAGAGTCACACACACCATAGGCACACATGTATGCATATAGAAATCATTAAAATAAAGTGGAAAAACATTTTAATGACAATGCTGTTTACTTTCAAAAATGCTAAGTTGGTGTCTTCATATCAGAATGAAAGACAAAATTGTGTGTTTAAAGTCTGTTTGTATATTGGCATCTTCTGGTCAGAATGAAAGAACAAAACTATGTCTTTTTTGTATTAAAGTATCTATTTGTTCGACTTGAAAATAGCCAATTCTGAAGAGATCTCTGTTACTCTCTTTATTAGCTTGTATGAGCCTGGTCTTAGGTGTAAAATCAAGAACTGTGAAATCAGTACACTCTCAATGTATTTTCTTTTTAGAGAATCCTCTCCTGATTAGACTGGCATTTATTAAGTTAAAATTGTGTGCAGATGTGTTATGGTGAATACAAAAAGGTTTTATCTTTCATTCTGACCTGAAGTTACCATCCTAAAGCGCAAAGGTAAACACTCTTTGACATTAAAAAGCTTTTCCTGTTTGTATCATTTCTTGACTTTTGTTCAGATTCTATAACCTATTAACACACATCAAAATAATTGCAATTACTTCTAATAGTACGCCTAATAAAAAATGAGAGACGTTTATTTTGCTTGAGGAAATTTTCCTGATCACCCTATTTATTAATTTTGCACTTTTTGACCTTTTAAATGATTTTCTAACCTCACCCCTCCCCATTTATTGCATATTGAGAAAAATCGCCACTCACAGTTATTAAGACCCCCATATATTAAACACCTTAAAAGCAGTAGTGTATAGAAGTGGGAGCAGAAGATCCAACAGCCCTGGCTATCCATGTCAGGAGGACATACAATCAAAGAGTGAAATAAAAATTTAATTTATATTTAATTTGAATAATGTGTTTATTTCATGTTTTATCTGTTTTTACATATTTAGAATGCCTTCTTTTCTCACATTTCTCAGTACCAGGCCCTATAGCCCACCCCACTACTTGAGTCTTAAGGGGGGCATACAATCAAGGAGTTGACCCCTGGGCATAACCAAACATCACCAAATCTCTGCACACCACTGCCTAAAAATAATAATCAAACTCATCATTCACTCTCTCTCTCTCTCTCTCTCTCTCTCTCTCTCTCTATATATATATATATATATATATATATATATATATATATATATATATATATATGAAAAAATATACTGAAAAAAGAAGATATGAAGAAAATATACTGAAAAAACAAACAAAAATCCTAATATGCAATTATGCTGTTTTAATGTTTAATGTCAACGTCAGACGTTTCGGTCTAATAGACCATCTTCAGGACATATTCATAAAACAATTAATGTCCAATGTTGACATTAAACATTAAAACAGCATAATCGCATATTAGGATTTTTGTTTTTGTTTTTCAGTATATTTTCTTCATACTTTTGGATCTATATCCATATATTTGCTTACATATATATATATATATATATATATATAATAAAAAGGTTTAAACACTAATATTCCATGGTCATAATTTATTCCATTGGAATCGTAAATATGATCCAATTCATCAGACCTACAAATTCAAAAAGAAAACAGAAAAAACAACTCCGGAAATAAAAACAGAATTTAGAGAGAGTGTAAGTATGAGGATGTGGGACGAATGTTAGAGCTAAAGAGAGGGGTAACAGACTAGAGAAGGAGGGAGATTAAACCTTAACAGAGAGAATTTTACGAGAGGTGAGTGGAGTGAGTGGAAGGGGTTTAAGTAAGAGAAATATATATATATATATATATATATATATATATATATAAAAAATAAGATACACCAACTCCAAACCTGTATATGAATGATATGATCCCTGTTTACAAATTCCAGTTGCATAAGGTCTTTTTAATTTTTTACAAGCTTTCGTCTGTTCCTACAGATATCCTCAGGTATGGAAATAGATTTGTTCTTGTTTTTACTTTAATTGCACCTATAATTGTAATTAAAATAACTGATCCAACGTGCAACTTTTGGATAATAAGTGTGACATTTCTGTAATTATTGAAAAATATAGTTCATGCCACATTGACGGAAAACCTACCAGTAAAAAAGAATTCTCTTATTACTATATTTGTACAAAAACACACAACCTTAAAATTTAAACTCAAACTCAGCGTTGCGACCGCACGTTCCAAAGCAATAACACATTTCTCATAGCATTTTTTCGGATTACATCTCTATTTTCGCTGTCCTCTTATTACCGAGAAGTAAAAACAAGAACAAATCTAGTGCCATTCAAGGTAGATAATTACTGAATGAGGATTTTGTATGGATGTAAAAAGGGGAATTTATGAGAATAGATAGACAACAGTTGACCCTAGATCTAAAGAGGTTAAGACTGTAATGATTGAGGAAGCATCCTCTTGAGAACCTGTTTCACAAATTAGCAGTTTTGGGGAAGAAGCTGACAGAATTAAGCTTTCTTCTTAATAATAAAATACAAAGGGGATGAAGATGATTCAACCATGAATATATCACATGGCAGATCTTAATTGTAATGGTGAACTGGTGATACTAAGGAATGTAGCCATAGAAATAGCAATAAAGTAGCAAGAGCTTTCTAATGTTGCATCTGTGTAGAGAGGGCTGTAGAGTTGAAATTAATTCTTTACAAGACTGCATCAATGCTTCTAAACTGTATGATTGCTAGAAAGTGAGGACTGTGCAAGCTCCAGCCAAAAACATGACAGTAATATTTCATTTTTGGTCTAATCTGACACTTGTGAAAGGTAGCACAAAGAAGGAGTTGGGAAATTTTTGGAGCAGTACAAGGAACCAGCCATTTTTTCTATAAACACAATGATTTCTGGAAATTCTTGTTCAGTGTCACTTTTCTTTATAGATATGTTCAAGGATGTGTCTTCTCACTCAAATTATTCAACCTTTAGAGCGAAGCAATTCTGGGAGAATTAGAAGTCTTACTAGGATTCATTATTAGTGGACATAATCTTAACAATATAATATATACAGATGACATAGTGTTGATAACAGAAATGGAAAGGAAATTACAGGCACTCCTACAGAAGGTAGTAAAAGAAAGAAAGAAGAAAAGACTAACTGTCAATTATAGGCATGCCAGGATATATGGCTGTCAGCAAAAGAGACAATTCAAGATGTACACTATAAATTGAAGGCACCGAAATCAAACAAGTACAAAAATTTAAATATCTAGGAAGTGTTTTAACAAAGGTCAGAAAATGTCAGACGAAAATCCAATAATGCAGTAGGTAGTGAAAATTCTCTTCCAAAAGCTAAGCAAAGCAGTAAGAAACAGGAAAATTTCATTAGAAACAAAGAAAAGAGTACTGGACTCTTATGTAATATTGGTCCTCCTATATGGCAATAAATGCTGGACAATCTCCTCAGAGATGACTTGAGGCAATAGAAATCTGGTTTTACAGAAAGTATGCTGAGAATATTATAGACAGATCATGTGAGCCACAAGAACATTTTAGAG